GCTCAGTGGTTGAGCGTTGAGCTATGAACCAGGAGGTTCGATTCCCAGTCAGGGCACCTGCCCGGGTTGCAGGCTTAATCCCCAGTGTGGGGTGTGCAGGAGGCAGCTGATCAATGATTCTCTCTCATCGTTGATGTTTCTATCTCTCTTTCCCTCTCCCTTCCTTTCTGAAATTAATAAAGATATATATTAAACAAAAATAAAAATAAAACCTTTTTAGGTAGCTGCAAGCTTTGTAAAACCCTAGAGGCCCAGTGCCCAAAATTTGTGCGGGGGGGGGGGGCGTCCCTCAGCCTGGCCTGCACCCTCTCCATTCCAGGACCCCTCGGGCATGTCTGATGGCCCGGATGTCTCACAATCCGGGACCGCTGGCTCCTAACCGCTCACCTGCCTGCCTGCCTGATCGCCCCTAACCACTCTGCATGCCTGCCTGGTCACCCCTAACTGCCCTCCCCTGCCAGTCTGGTCACCCCTAACTGCTCTCCCCTGCCAGCCTGGTTGCCCCTAACTGCCTCTGCCTCGACCCCGGCCACCATGGCTTTGTCCAGAAGATATCTGGTTTAATTAGCATATTACCCTTTTATTAGTATAGATACATTAATAAACTGGTAGGTTTGGGTTGTAAATTAGGACCAGTTTGGGAGGTAAAGAGAAAGGGAGCAAGAGAATGAATTGAGGAGGTACCCAAGGCAGGGGGGAGGGGAGCTGGCCTCCATGTGCCTGAGGGAAGGGGAGAACAGACAGCCCCAGACAGGGTCTGGGGGAGGTCAGGGCACCCACAGAGGCAGGGAGAAGGACAGGAGAGAGGGGGACAGGCAGGGGGAAGCATGGGAAGCGGAGGGCTCCCTGTCCCTGCTCTCAAGCCACGCACGTATCTAGTGGGGTTCCCCATCCCCCCCATCCTCTTCAGCCTTGCCCCTGCCCCCAGGGTCCTCATTCCACAAGACAGCTGACACCCCTCTCCTCCAAAGGCCCCCAGATTCTGTTCCTCCCACCTCCCTGCTAGTCCTCAGCTTCTGTCTCCCACTCATCGCTTTCACTTTCTGACTCACAGCTCTATTTGCAGGCCTGCCCAACCTCAGACCCCAGCTCCCACCCGCGCAGCCAGCCCCCACTCCTTCATGCCACCCTGCCCATCCCTCACCACCCCCACCCCCGGCCCGGGGTCATCTCCAACCCCCACAGCCAGCACCAGACCCAGCACTCCCTCCCACCCGCAACCTCTTCCCACTTCCCTGTGTTTATCACCAGCCCCGCCAGCTCCCCTCCCTGAGCTGTGGTCTGAAGATGTCACCTCCCGCTGCCTCACACCTCTCTTCCGGTCTGTCACCCATCCCGTCTGTTCTTCCCAAGAATAACCACAGTGCCAGGCACGCTGCTTCACACACATTAGCTCAGTGTCCCCACCGCAGTTGGAAACACGATGACCCGTGAAATGCGGTAAGACACGGAGTCAGAGGCAGGCGCTGTGAACGCCCGGCGAGCTGCCGTCTGTGGAAGCTCATACAGATCTGCACACAGAAGCTGAGAGCTCAGAGACCCACAGCTCTCCTGCAGCAGCTTGCATGCCCGCTCCCCTGCCCCTACCCTGCAGTGCGCCCGTTCCCGGTGGCTGCCCCCCGCCGTGGCCAGGCTGCAGTGGGCACCAGGGCCTCTCCGCCTTTACGGGGCTGCTGCCTCACCTGCCTGTGAACTCCCACCTGGGCTTCTCTGACCCGGGCACATCTGGGTGCTGCTGAGGGACCCACCACAACCACTCCTTCATTCATGGATATTTATTTATTTGTTTTTTTAAAAAATATGTTTTATTGATTTTTTACAGAGAGGAAGGGAGAGGGATAGAGAGTTAGAAACATCGACGAGAGAGAAACATCGATCAGCTGCCTCCTGCACACTCCCCACTGGGAATGTGCCTTCGACCAAGGTACATGCCTTTGAGGGGAATCAAACCTGGGACCCTTGAGTCCGCGGACTGACGCTCTATCCGCTGAGCCACACCGGTTAGGGCTATTTATTTGTTTTTAAATATTGATTTCAGAGGAAGGGAGGAGAGAGAGACAGAAACATCCATGATGAGAATCATGGATCGGCTGCCTCCTGCACGCCCCACGCTGGGGAGCGAGCCTGCAACCCGGGCACGTGCCCTGACCGGGAATCGAACCGGGGCCTGCTGGTTCAGAGGTCGATGCTCAACCGCTGAGCCACGCCGGCCGGGCATTCATGGATATTTATGGAGAGTCTTCGTGGCACTTCGTGCTGGGCAACACCAGAGTGAACACGGCAGGCGTGGGTCTGCAAATTGTAATGAGAACTAGACAAGAAAGAAGAGGGGTGTCCTGAGAGAGAGCCGCCTTTATTTTTAAAAAATGTATTTTTATTGATTTTCGAGAGGAAGGGAGAGAGAGAAACGTCACTGATGAGCGAGAACTGGCATCACCCGCGCCTGCACTCTCCCCGCAGGCTTCCAGGACGTGCACGTGATGATCTTCGTGGGCTTCGGCTTCCTCATGACCTTCCTGCAGCGCTATGGCTACAGCTCCGTGGGCTTCAACTTCCTGCTGGCGGCCTTCGGCATCCAGTGGGCGCTGCTGATGCAGGGCTGGTTTCACTCCTTCCACGACGGCTACATTCTCATCGGCGTGGAGAAGTGAGTGCGGCGGGGGCGGGGCCCGGTGTCTGAGGGGCGGGGCCTCGCGAGGGGCGGGGCCTGGGCGAGAGGCGGGCTCAGGGGCGGTGTCTGGGTGGTGGGGCAGGTTGGGGGCGGGGTCTGGGTGAGGGGCCGGATGGGGGTGGGCCATGTGAAAGGCGGCCCCCGGGTCTGAGTTGGAGGAGCTGGGTG